AGAGAGAGAGAGAGAGAGAGAGAGAGAGAGAGAGAGAGAGAGAGAGAGAAGACCAGTGCCTTAGTTGGATGTTGAGAAGGATGTTGCCAGGCTTTTTAAGCGGTGAGCTGCCAGGGAAGGGCAGTATCCAGCCAGCGGCAGCCAAGGCTGGGCCGAGGAAGAAGGTTGACACCATAGCCGGGTTAGGTGCTGTGGAGGTAGAGTAGGTGGCACTAGAACGGGAGATCCTTTGAGGAAGGGGAATGCCCGGGAGCAGTTGCACTTCCCTGGCGGACGCCAAGTAGAGCTCCAGCGTGACATGTTCTTTGAGCAGGCACTTGTGGGAGCACCACAAACTCTGTGGCGCTGTATTATTCGGTACTATAGGCTAAGCATAGATGATAGAGTGGGTGGTTTTGCCAGCTGGTAAGGCGACCTGCCAGGCTGGGAACTCAATACTGTTGCTGTCGTATTGATTATTCGGAGGCAAGAAGGGTTTTTTTCCTCATCCTAGAGACCCCCAAATTGTCTGTTCTTCCGCTGGCGGCTCTGACAGTGTGAAGTTAATTACTAGTATTTTGCTTCTTTCTTTGTTCCGTATTTTCCTTTTGGCTGACGCGGGCGGCCGCAGATCGACATGCAAACAAAAGAAAAGGCGGCTCCCTGAAGTTGGCAAAACGAATCCTGAGGCAAAAACTTGCATGTGCTATGGCTGCCCCTGTTTGTATGCCACACAGGGCCCTAAAAGAAATCAGCCAGTATTTTGCAGAGCGGCCCAGGATGGAAGAAAACGACCTGGGTCGCCCAAAAAATTGTGGGCTACCCCCCATTTTCCAACGAAATATGAAGCCTAACCGTCGTGCCTCATTGCTATAACGGTCATGAAATGATGCCGTTGTTGCCTGTTTTACTCTCCCTTGCATTTCCTAGTGCGAAGAGCAGGTAAATATATCCACTTTCTGCAATGTCCCTTCGGCATTCCTGTACTTTTGAGGGGGAGACCCTTCCACGAAGACCCTTTTTTTTCCCCTCTACTTTTCAAACTTTTGAATCGGATACTTGTAATTTTTTATCCCGAGAAGCACTAACCAATGCTGTAAATCTCTTTCTGATGTGTGCAAACTCCCACTGCTCCTTCCTGCCTGCATCCATACATCCTCGACACACCTCCCTCCTGACCCTCCTAGTCGTTGATCCCCTTTAGCTACTCGTTTTTTGACGTGAGCGAAGCGCCCACTCGTCTGTCATGTTCTTATCACAGTTTGAAAGTGTATATGCTTCGCTGTCACTCCAAGAGTCGTCAACACAGAAACTGCCTCGGAGAATAGTGTCCAAGTCCCTCTCTCCTTTCTCCTTCTACCCTAGCGTCCAACGTCTTGTCCTACGTCAAGTATCAGCCACCTACTCACTTCCTTGCCCTTGCTGGACTACCGTTTTCACCCGAATAGAACACCCGGTAATTATTGCCGTATCTGGGCTGAAAGTTGTGCCGAATACAGCTATAATGACCGGGCGTTCTATTCGGGTGAAGACGGTAGCACTACTACCCCTACTGTAGCCCAGTATCCGCAGCTGCAAACCAGTGCAAGTAAGTGCATGAGTCTCTCGCGGCTGTCAAGGGAGCGCAAATGCGACTTCCCTCAGTCAGGATTCGGGAAGCCTAGAGGCATCCACACCATGGTGTCTTTAACTGGACTGGCTGGACTGATATATATATTGACCCTCAACCAGTCTGCAGGCCTCTGCGGTCGGCCTATTTTTAGGAACTTGGCCCGGACAGGACTATCTGTGGGCCGATATCGTTGTATCTTGCCAGTTTCCTGGCAGCGTATAGAAGTACCTTGGAAGTGTGGTGGCCTCCATTGTTTTTAGGCCTACTACACCAAATCCGTTCTTTTAAGATATTTGTCAAAATGTCTTCGGTAGCAAAGAATCGTGAGAATATCCCTGCCTCAACGGTGAAAACAAACAAGGACAAACCAACAATTTTCAGTATAACAAGGGTAAAACTGAGAAGACAAAAGTTTGCAGAATTTACATTATGGTACAACTTGTGGGCTCCTGCAAAATGGTGGGTGCTTGTGCCATAAATTCGGGGCTTGGAAAGCCCGAGCTACCTTTTTACCTCAAAAGAAATGTACGCACGTTGTATATGAATGCACCGTACGGGGTATGTTGTTTACAAATGAAAGGTACGGGGTACATTGTATTCGAATACAACGTAGGTACGTTGTGCAACAATTTTGAGATACAACTTTTCCAGGGCGGCCCTTTACAGGGTAGGTTGTATTTGAATTTTGGATAATGAGAGGGCGGCCGTGAAATGTATGAGAGGACCCCAGCCTCATCTCTTTGAGTGGAAATATATGCTGATTTCGGTGAAAAAAAAAAGAAAGAAAAAGACCCGAACATCTGTCCCTCCCCTTCTTTCCCCCCCCCCCCCTCTCTTCAAATTTGGTAGCAAATTTCAACAATACTCTCAGGCAAAAGATGTTTGTATCGCATTGCTCTTCGACATAGATATTTTTTGGATTTTTTTGAACGTTTTTGTCTCAAATGCCACAGACTTCGAATACAACGTACGTACGTTGTATTTGACTGTACGTTCTATTTGGAAAAAAGAGTGATTTCTAAAAGTCCGATTTTTGAAGGTAGTTCGAATAGAGTGTACATACGTATTTTTCTGGGTAAGAAGGTAGGGAACGAGCAGCTGTGCGGTTACTGGGGGTAGTGGCCGCTATCTCGAAAAACATGGAAGAGGGAGGTTAGGATCCATGGCCTGTCTACAAAAGTAGAGGCTAGGGAATTGTTGGCGTTGTTGGCCAGACTGATGCTGGGATGCTGCAAGAGGGCATAGAGGCAGCGCCAGCAGCCATCTAGCCAGCCAGGGCCAGCAGTAGGGCTGGGTGCCAGCCATAGGTGCACTGAAGGAGAGAGAGGGAGCGAGTTGGATCATGAAGGAGAGAGTCCGGGAGTAAGGGCTGTGAGAGAAGTGCCGGGGAGTATACCTGGTGGTCGGGAAGAGAGCTTGAGCATTGTACATTCTTAGTCGGGGCGTTGGTGGAGATCCAGACTGGACCCACATTGCACGTTAGTGAGCTAATGGTAGACTAGTGTGTAGTGCACATGGTCAGGGCCAGCAGTAGGGATGAGTGCCAGCCATAGCTGCACTGAAGAGGAGAGAGAGAGAGAGAGAGAGAGAGAGAGAGAGAGAGAGAGAGAGAGAGAGAGAGAGAGAGAGAGAGAGAGAGAGGGNAGAGAGAGAGAGAGAGAGAGAGAGAGAGAGAGAGAGAGAGAGGTGGATCATGAAGGAAAGAGTCCTGGAGTAAGGACTGTGAGTGAAGTGCCGAGTAGTATACCTGGTGGTCGTGAAGAGAGCTTCAGCATTGTACATTCTTAGTCGGGGGATTGGTGGAGATCCAGACTGGACCCACATTGCACGTCAGTGAGCAGAGAGTTGGTTAATGGTAGGCTAGTGTGGAGTGCACGTGGTCAGAGCCAGCAGTAGGGATGAGTGCCAGCCATAGCTGCACTGAAGCACAGAGAGAGAGAGAGAGAGAGAGAGAGAGAGAGAGAGAGAGAGAGAGAGAGAGAGAGAGAGAGAGAGAGAGAGAGAGAGAGAGGTGGGTAATGAAGGAGAGAGTCCTGGAGTAAGGACTGTGAGAGAAGTGCCGAGTGGTCATGAAAAGAGCTTGAACATTGTAGATTCTTAGTCTGTACGTTGGTGGAGATCCGGACTGGATCCGCATTGCTCGTCAGTGAGCAGAGAGTTGGCAAATGGTAGGCTACTGTGTAGTGCATGTGGTCAGATTGCTCAGTCTGGGTAGACGGAGAGACCGGCGTTGCAGAGTTTTATCTTGATTGTTAATGTTTTGATTGATTGAAGCAGGTTTGGGGGCCTTTTCACCAAGGGATTTAAATATTGTCCATTGATGGCTTGCTGCTGCTGCACTTTCCTTTGTCTCTGAATCATTGCCGGTTAATGAGAGTTCAATGTGCTTGTAATTTGAGTTTCTTCTTCATGGTCACCTTGGACTTCAGATTCGCTTTTTCTACTTTTATGTTTTCCTTTTTGGGCGGTGAAACCCCAACGCTTTTTGTAGCGGGTTCAAAATTTCTAATGCTCTCCACACTGTTTTCCTTGTGTTCCAGTGGTTGATGCCCTTGGGCTGCTTGCACTGTCTTTGGATAATCTGTGAAGAGAAAACGCATGCCCAGGGGGAAGGCTCCAGCGTGCAATCCAAAGTACTAGCATTTTCAAGTCATCCTCGACTTCTCCTCAGAGGAAACTATAGTCAGCCAACCTGCCTGCTACCGCAGTTTTGCTGCATCTTGTCGCAGAAGGGGAGGGATGATCATTTCTTGTGCTCCTTGGTTCACCGGGTCAAGCACATCATGTCTTGTGCCGTATTGGCCTTAGGAGAGCGTCAAACAGTGGATGTCTAGGACCTTGGGTCTTGGTGTACGTTGACCGACTTGATGACAAGTTCCGACTCACCTTTTTGACAGTGGTTACTATCTAGTACTAGAGATAGACCTAATCCCCACCTGTGCGGTTTGGGATGGGCTTGAGGCATCGGGCTGTGTAGCAAGGTAAAGTCTGAAAAACGAGACCTGAGGATGTGAGGCATATCTTGGCTAGCGAGTGGTCTATCAATAAGGGATGGAGGTGGAAATTGTAGACGATTAAGATGATGCATTAGATATAAGCCAGCACGGCAAATAATTACCATGTCTAGGTGAGAAGACGCAGCACATCTGTGGTGTTCATGAGCTGGAGCAAGAGATGAAGGTGCTGTACTCAACTCACTGAGGAAAATAATCAATCCTTCCAGCTCACAGGGAGAAAGATAGACGAACAGTAACCTGGTAACCACGATGTGTTTGGAAACAACGGCCGTATGCATGGGTGTGTGCTGTTGCCTGGGCTGTAGTAATTGCTGCACCCATGGGTCTTCGGAGAGCAACAATTGGGAAGATGCCCACCCAGATGATGTCCTGGAGATTCATCGTGCATGCACAATGGTCCAAGGGGCATATGGATGCAACAAAGAGGATGTTGCCAGGATCATGAGCGAACATTTCCCAGATTTCCAGGCGTCCAATGTTGTAAGTTCTGTTCCCACAGTTTTTTTCCCCTCCATGGTACCCTTCCTGTACTCTCTTGACTGTTGACATGATTCCCATGCTGCCAATGTTGTAGAGGGCTCTGTCCTCTGCATGCTGTCCTCTCTGCATGCTGTGGCTGTCAGAGTGATCCTATGGTGCTGCTCTGCTTCGTGTCATAATTCTGAATCGCATGTTGTGCAGACCTGGTGTGGACCTCGTATCTATTTGATATAATGGACCTCATATGGTATGAATGTTGCATGGGAATGATGGGGACCTGTGTACTTGTGTCGCTGTATCAGTGTGGAATATTTTGCAGCGCTCTCAGCCTCTTGCTGCTCCTATTCTCCGGCTGATCATGTGTCAATGCATCAGTGTTGCATTTGTTGCAGAGCTGCCAGGGCTGTTTGCCTGCGGATTTATTTCCTTCATCCGGCCATCTTTGTGATAAATCAAGAGCGTCCCTGTAATGCACACGGAATAGGCCTGGGAACGGGACGAGGCCGTCTATGTGGTATATGCTTTGGGACGCCTCATGTCTGCCCATTGATACCCCTGGCTGATTTTTTTCTCTTTATTTTTTCCAAATGGTCCTTATGAGCCTG